ATAACTCTTACTGCGAATTCGAAGAAGCCGGGCAAGACATTTTTGGTAATATAAAATACACTTTTAATCGAAAGAAACCTCCAGAATAATAAGTTACAGTGGTAGATAACCAAACGGAATTGGTGATTTAAAAAAAAGTGAGAGAAGTAACTACAAACTTGAAACTGAAGTTCACAGCGAAAGTGACGTCACGAGAAACGCATGCGCTCTTAGCCTATTACACTGAAGATTGGGCATTCCTATTTTTATCTTTCTCCCACCGCCGGGAAGAAAACGAACATTTGGTCGCAGGTTAGAAAACTATCACTTGCGTTTTCGCCGGTTTTTCGTCCACATCAGTTCGAAAAATCCCCGACTTGTTATTCTAATAGCATGCGAAACAGTCTGCTGACATTTCAAGACAGCAACGAAAACTTTCTACATCAGTGCCGGCTTCATTACTTTATTTCCAACATTTCTTTAGAGGCGAAATATGGAAACCAAGTGAGAAAAATTGCATGCCGAAGGATTTCAATGTGAAGCAATATGCGGTAAAGGTTGGCTGGTTGATTGAAGAAGGCATTCGAGTGACATAGCGAAAGCGTTTAAACAACTTGATAACCAAAGTTGCAGCCCAAACTAATAAGTAACTGTAACCGTTTATCATGTGGAAAGCAAGTAGAACGTTTTCCGCATGCGCGAACATTTTCCCGCGAAAATTGCATCGGTCATTACACGACCAAAGAAACTTCAAAATGAAAGTTTACAATTCACTTCTCTCGATTCCAGCAACACCATCGCTTTTACTTAAATTAAAGCAAAAAAGGCTGCTATAGGAACAAAATTATTGCATTCTAGTATAGGTAATGGTTATCGCCTCCACATTTCTTTTTTCAAAGATTGCAGCCAGCCATGAACCTGATGAAGAAAACCTACGTCCTCAGAGAAAACACCTTCAATTTTTTCAATAAGTCGGCGTCAATGCAATAACTGAAATTTTAATTTAAACTATCGCTGGAAGAAATTGACGCCCTTTAATAATTAAAATGAACTGAATAGAAACGTTGTCTTTTGAAGCAGATGTTTTGTTAAATTTTCGCGGCTTTGCTTTCAACTCAAAGCAAGCATTTCATCTGTTTTTGGCTAAGAATGGCATTAAACATTTCTTGCAGACTCACTGGAAAGTCTAAAGTAGGTAAATTATTGAAAATACTCATTTGATAACCAACTAAGTCGAAAAGGTAAATTAGCCATTGTAACAAATTTTAAAAGTAAACTCTTTGTCGGAACTTTTGTCTTTTCTCCATCGAAGGGCCTTTTCATCATTATGCTAATTAACGGAAATATTTTTCATTTTCCCACCAACCTAGCAAAACGGCTCCTTAAACTCATGTGAATGTTAATTTAATGAAAAGACTTCACCTTATTATAGAAATGCGAATTAACTGCCACACTGGCATTTCGATCAGTTGAGCTTTTAAAGAACGATAAATGAATCTGTCTAGAGATTTACCAGCAATTAAGGCTTCTGTGAAATTATTGTTTTTAATTTGTTGTCAGCTTAAGTTAGCATAAGCTAAAACAGACAATGGATAAAGCTACTGTTGCTGGAAACAAGGCTTCTGGAATGTAAACATCATTGCTATCATCATGATTAGCTTCAGGAGAGATGAGGCTATTGTCACTTGAGTCAAGGTACTGGCTTTTTAAGTTTTCTTCTACATCCTTGACATTGTACGACTGAAAACTGCATTTAAGTACTCTGGGCTCGAGATTTGTCTTCAGCAAAGGGCCAGACAAAATATGCGAACGTTCTGCTGTTATCTGTAACAGGAGACGATCTCGTTAAACAGAACGCTAAAGGCCGGAAAAAAACCTGCTTTCATTTTCACGCCATCAGTTTTAAAATTTCCACGTGACTATGATATAATTTTCTTTTTCCAGTTTGTAACTTCACTGAAAACGCGGTATGGTGTGTATGTGTGTAGAGCTGAGTAAACACGAACACTGTCACTCTATTTATCTCAATTGCACGTTTGGTTAACAAACGCTTGCCTGTAAAGTTTTGTACACAGTCTACACATTTCAACCAGCGGAATAGGAAAAAAACTACGGGTGTCCGTCAAGGGACATCGTTAGCCCGAGTCATCGATCATACTGTTGAGAAAATAGCTTAGTAAGGCTGGAAAAACTGAAAATAAGCATTTGTCTCAAGTCCACGAAATGTAAAACTAGGATACAAACAGTTTCATCATGTATAAATAATCAAGGAGAAAGCTAGTCGTCACTTTCTCAGCTCTTTGCCGTTTGCAAATATACGTATAAAAACATTCAGCCAGTTTCTACTTTTTACTAATTTTTACTGCATTTAGATTAGACAAACTGAGTTATTTTTCTGATACCTTCCTTAAAATACTCCCATTTTGTTAATAATCTTTTTCCAAGTCTATTTTCTNATGAAGTGGCGTATGGAATCTACGAGTGGTTTAGTTCCCAGTAAAACACTCTTCTCCATATAATAAAATGCAATAATGTCTCGGATAATTCCTTTATGTATAATCCCTCAAGTACGGATCGGCTCCAGTTTACACTAACTTTCTCTCGCGTTTGTATTGTGCCCTGTGTAGCCAAAGCGCGCCATGCTCCGTATCCAAACAACGAGTTTAATGTCTCATGCGTTGTATGTCTTTGCAGGATTTTGTCAGTCCACTTTGAGGGAAAAATTCAAAAATCCAGGCTTTGATTGTTCCGGTTGTTATGAAGCTCAAGTATCATTAGTAACTAAGAACAGGTATATCACACTCCTGTCTTTTGTCTTGAGCTTCTAAATAAAGAAGGCAAAAGTAGCCAAAAAGACTAGGAGGGGCGCCTATGAGGGGATTTAAAACACGGTGGAAGAACTGGAATACCTAGAACACAGCTTTCCGTTTTCAATAGGTTTTCGTTGTGTAAATTGCCATAAGATAGTGGATAAGTCGCCAGTCAATTCATAATCAATTAATTGATCTTATAAACCGTAACAAGTAGACAAACCAAAGGGTTTCTGATTTTGCTGTGTAAACACGCACCCCCATTCTTTTTTCAAGCGTATGGGGCACCCTAAATAACTCCTAAAGCGATCGATACTCGAAAATTTGGCGCTACACAGATCGTTCAACTTCAATTCTCGGGTTTTTTGTTACCTTGGAAACCTCGACAACTGCGTGAACACACATCAGTGTCAGAAAGTGACATAGTTTAAGTTTTTAATTTTAAAACATCAACGTTTTACTTTAATTTATTTCAGTTTCAGTAAACAAAGTAACGAGTTCTTTGAAGCACTAAGTTCAGTATTTCGTACCTTAATAAAAATTTTAATTAAAACAAAAAAAATTTTAAAAAAATTTTAATTAAAACATCAACGTTTTACTTTAATTTATTTCAGTTTCAGTAAACAAAGTAACGAGTTCTTTGAAGCACTAAGTTCAGTATTTCGTACCTTAATAAAAAGGGACAACTTTTTTCATTCATCTTGCATGGTTATAAGAGGATACAATTACATTGTATCCAGATTACAGTTGTCCCCAAAAAAGAAATGATTTCATTTCGCAGAAAAGCACTCGAAATTTGTCAGGAACCTGTTTATAAGACGAATTATAAGAAATGACTCAACCTCGTTCCCAGGGTCTCTCATCTTACCGCCCTCTGGAGCGGAAAGATGAGAGACCCTGGGAACGAGGTTGGAAATGACTATGACCTTATGATGGCAAAGGCAAAGAATGGTCTGATGAATTGATGCAAGCTTGGCTGGGATTATTTGACATTTGGCAGAAATCGCCCTACTTTCCAGATTTTGTTTAAGTCTATAAAGTTTTATGCCATAAATCGGAGGAAAGTTTGTTTATTTATTGGAGTTAAATAAGGAAATGTCAACTAACATTGCACCCTTAAAATCTTTTTCCAGAGTTCTTGCTTGTGTGGCTATCCATAGCCCCAAACATAGATATTACCTCTTTCACCCAGAAATCGTGCACAGAACAAAAAAATAAATACGTTTTTACTACCCTGTTAAATAACAGATATCATTCGTGATTAGAGAAAGAATTAACACCTCCATAACTTCAATCGAAAACTTTTCTGTTTTTACATAACCATGTCACACTATTGATATAGAATTGTAAGCTATTTGCGCAGTTTCCTAGCTGTGAAAATGAGGTTAAGAAAATTTCAATTAGCACCGTCTTGTCATCGATGAAAGCAGTAATTGGGTTTCCTTGTTAAGTTCGAACATTAAAATCCTGTGAAAAGATCTCGAAATTCGCCTCCAATACATTCAACCGTTTTCAACGATCAAAATGATATAATCTGACAGTAGCGCATTGCGCAAAAGCTTTTCGAAGGAATTTTTAACAGGTTTTGCGTCTGTGATATAGGTTTGCTAGGGAAGAAAATCTCATTACAAATATCTGGGCACCTTTAGGAAAAAAAAAATAGAAAAAGTGCAAAATATAAAAATTTGTTATCTTGAATCCGCGTCAATGTTCATTTTAGAAAATTTATGATCATCTTTCAGGTGCAAAATGGGTTTTGGAAAATCGTGTTGGAAAAAATTGTGCAATAAGCAGCGATTTGCATATTTTCCCTGTGAAATTCATTTTAGCCGATTTCCTTTCATTAAGGAAAATAATAATTCTGTACAAATTGCTTTTTTCTCACCCAATTATACAAGAAAATACAACCGGTGGGAAAGATAAACAATTTAAATGGTTGAAACAACCTCCCTTCGAAAAGGAACCTTATTGTTTTGATAAAGCAATTTTACTGCTTTCTTAATCAGAGATAACTTATTAAAGGAACATTTCGCATCAATGATATTCTCATTTCATTGGCTCACGCTGGTCGGGATTAATAAATAGATTTTATTCTGACATATGATCGTATTGAATTCTGCTGGCATTAATGAATTTCTGTCTGTGACTTTTTGTATTTTGATTAATGAAAGTAATTGCTTGCCCATTCTTGACACCTTTTTACAATTGCAGGTAATTGAGTCCCACGAAACCTGTTTGCCAGGCCAAACTGTCGATTCTTTGAAGACGGGGAAAAGTGTTAATGCAGTGCTAAAAAACATTTCACTTGAAATTCGCCTGATAAAACCCTCGCTGTGACAGCGGGCTGAAGAAGACGCTTGACCGAACTGTTTGATCAAGATGTGGATTCGCTTGAGCTTTCTACTGACAGCCTGTCAGATATTTTACCTGGTAAGTTACCTGGGCTCAACACATCTATTGCATTACTCCTAAGCTCCTTAACTCTCCCAAATCATATTAACGCCAGAATTAAACACGAAAGGAGTCTTTCGTGTGTTATTCTCTCATTTGTGTGTTTCAAGGTTTTGGCAAAAGCAGGACTACTTTTCGAAATTTTTTTTATGATGTTTGAAATTAAAAGTCAGTCTTGTAAAATGTGAATTATTATTGAAGCCAAGAGAGGTTGATGTTCGTGTTCGTTTTCACCAGATAACGAATTTAACTGTATATGAATAGCCATGACAAACAAGGTTTATCCTAAGATAAGTGTATTCTAAATGTCAGGTCCCGTTGTTCAGTGCTACCGAGTTTTGCCTGCATGTTTTCGAGAAGAACTTCAACTTACAACTGAGATCACCTCAATCACTTCACACTGAAATTACTCGGTAGCCGTCGCCTGTGCGCCATTTTCCCCAAACACATTCATCTGTGATTTGTCACTTTGATTTCCATGGATATTTTTTCATATTCTGTACAAAATGTATTCTCCCTTTCATAGTTTTATTCAAAATTAAAATCGGATGCCGACTCTGTAAACGACAGACAACAAGAACAGTGTAAATTTCCCAATCCTTTTATTTGTCCAAAGTTGGGATGTTCCTTCGAACGTTTTCAAGATTTTTGCAATGCAGGAAATTTTAATTCAAGTTCATTAATTTTGCGATGCCAAATTGGTTTCGAAATAGTTAATATGTATTTCTATTATAAAAGACCCCAGGATATTCCATTTTGCAAACATACAGAATAGCACCCCTAGAGTTACTTCCTTAATGGCAATAATTTAATTTCATCTGAAATTTTCCACCAATCAACTGTTTTACCAAGCTTCTTTCAAAGCAGTATTTTCAAAGCCGATATTTTCATAAACTTGAAGAATTACATCGGCTGCAATTTGTAATCTTCATCGACTCGTGCGTGCTCATATTTGTGACAAATCGACTCAGATCACGGAGTTATTTCCTTCACTTCTTGACACAAGTTGTCTAAATGTCCCCTCTATAAAGTTGTAAAACAGAGAGTTGTGTCAGTTTATGAAAATATTTCTTGTAACATGTGGATCAATAGCAGCTGCTGTGCAAAACACCCCAACAAAATTTCATCGGATGCTTTTTCCAGCTGCTGATATTAATCCTAACATTCGACAGAACTATGACGAAAAAACAAAACTAAACAAAACAAAAAAACAACTGAAACTAAGATCCCGGCAAACATGGTTTTAATTGCATCGCATGTTTTGTGTCAGTTGTACATTTGGTCATTTATCAATTTGGTTCTTCGAACCGGCTATTTTACAGCAATTTAAGAAACTAGTTGACATGAAAAAGATAACAATCATTATTTCATTATACGTACCTCAGTTCCGGCCTCTCGAGTTGCATCCGCAACTGAGAAAGGCCAAACCCTCTAAGGAGTAAGTGAATTTGTAAGAACTCATTGCAGAAAAGGACTGTTTATAGTAAAAATACTAAAGAATATATTATCTAAAATAGTTTCCCTAGATAACAAGTAAAGTTCTTTGCGGCGTGTAATGTAGTTCCCGAGACAAGAGAATTCTCTTGGTGAGACTGAATGTTAAACAGTCTCACGAACTAAATAATGTCGACCCACAACCGCTAAAACTTGAAAATAATGCACATTCCATTCAGTCTCAAAAAATACTTCAATTGATATCATTATATACATATATATAGAGAGAAGATATTACCAAATATGGTTATCGTCAGAAGTTTGCAAGGTATTATACACTTCTGATATCATTTATCTTTTAGAAAGGAGTTGGAGACCAAATAAAGTAAAATTCAGTTGCCATCTACTCGCATTTAAATGGTTATTGGAACATCACTGGGCCCACCAATGATACTCTCGGTCTCTCATTTTAGGCATGGAAAAGGGCACATCGTACTAAACATACAAGACTAACTCGCTAAGGGCATTTTCCACCCACTACTATTGCAAACGTGACAAATTCACAAGGCCCCACCCCAAATCATATTACGAAAACAATCTTCAAGGAAATTATAACATGCTCTGTTACTACGAGAAATAGAGTTATATCGTTTCCGAATTATGTTTTAATTAAAAGAACTAGGTTTTTATGGCTCAAAACCTATTATGCGCCATTGATCATTCCGAAATGTGTTTTCCAGAAATATGTCGATGATGAGATATTCACTGATTTGAAAGTTGTCAAGCTCTGAATTTAGCAAGGTCCAAATTAATTCATTTCTTGTTTAATCTTACTTCTCAAAAGAAACAGCTACAAAAAATTAAAAACTGTTTTCGTTAGAATTTCAGTGGAAATTGCAAACACAAAGAAACGAACTGGTAAATGTTAACCTTCGGTGGCACTAATGCGAAGCACAAACAGTGTTAATGCATTAATGGCAATATGTACGACTCAAATAAGTTACAAAAAAAAAAATAAACAAACCCAGGCTTTGTTTTTTTTCCCTTTCCTTTTGAAGCACGCGTATTTCCGCCAGCGAAAAAAAACAGAAATGATTTCATTGCGATCTTACATTCCCATAAATTGTTCTAAGTTCTTCTTATTATCGAGTTAAGTTTCACTGCTAAATGTACTTATTCACCTTCATCATAGCATCTTGTAAAAAAACTGTCCCGCTTTTTAGAGGTCCCTCTTACGATATGCTCGTGTTTAATTATCAGCTCTGATATCCATATAGGTCTTACGATTGCTTGTTACTCCTTATCCTTCAGTCAGGAACATTACCACTGAATTATTGCTGCAGTTAAGGGAGCTAATTTGGACCAAGGGAACTCACCCTCGGTCCGACTTAAAACAGCAAGTGATTCGAGGTAGCGTCTCAGAGAATAACTTTCGAAGCGTTTTATTGGTCAATAGGGCTGAATAGAACAGCGCGGACAACGGCGAGTGATAGGACTGAAAAACGAGGGATTGGGAAAACCATCGCCCTCTTTTTCCACTCGCCGATCTTCTTGCTTCTCAAGGACAACCGACAGAAAGCCCAAACAATCTGCATAGTAGATGGCAGAAAAATGATAAGAAAATCCAACATCAAGACTTCATCTTCAAAGAAATGAGTTATGCATTGAAGTTAGTCGCGTGCTGTTCGCGCGGGTGTATGAAGTCGGTTCGAGATCACCAGCGCGAGGGATTCAGATAGATAAATCATATCTACTATCGATCGATAACTTGTGGTTATGGTCACGGGAGTCTACTGTATGCTGCGGACCTTTTCAAAATAATACTTTGAAGTTCAAAAAATTAGGAAATGAGTTTTGCTTTACAAACAAAATCATGAAAAAAAAAAATTGAAAGGTAATTGTGTTTTTTTGGTTCAGTTTAGTTGATTGTGCCCTCAAATCTACCCTGATGCCAACTTTTTATTGTCCAATCCTTCTCACGGTTGATATTAGGCAAAAAAGAGGGGGGCGGGGGGAGAAAGTAAGAGAAAAAAAGACTCCTCGTGTTTGCATTCCGGACTTTGTTCATGGTTTGATGGAAGACTATTTTTTAACTGCTTACTAGTTCCAGAAATTGGCCAGAAATGTTCGATCCGGAACTGGGAGTTTTTTAAAAGGTTATCTTCCTTCACTTTTTCACTTTACCTTACATTTTACCTTTTTTCCGGAAATTGTTTCTTAAATTTAAAAAGAGAATTGATTACCATGCCAATGCAACTTTTTTGGGTGTAAAATGAAAACAAAAATATTGTAAAATGCATTTTCTATGAATATTAAGACTGCGTCTTTTAATCAAAGATAGCAGTTATTGTTCACATTGATGAAATACAGAGTATAGCATTCTCCTAGATTTGTTCTAAATTCTTTTTCTTTTTTTTCTGGATTAAACGGATAAATCTTTTCCAGGCAAGCGTAGTTAAACAACTGTGATTATCTCTTCAATTCTACTCCTTTACTTTGTGTGTTGTCTGTCATCAGATATCGGCTCTCTCTTCACCCAAGATACTTTATTTACCGCCCGAGTCACCAGGTATGTTACCAATCCAATCGATGGGAAATTTGAATTGTTTGTGTTCAGCGGTCGTGTAGAAAGAGACTACTCAAAAGTCAGAGCGTATCTACAAAGATATTACCTTAATTGGCAGCCTGGCTTCACGAGCCCCTATCTCTCTCCTCCGCAGAGGCTTTCTAGGGGAGGGGAAAGTGAAGTGAGAGTGGGCGCGGGGGGACGATGAGAAGAGGAGAAGGGCGGAAACATCCTTTATTCCCTATCTTCAGCCTCCGAACTACCAGCTTACATGGTCAAAGCAGCATGAAAGAGGCCTCGACGGAGGAGAGAGAGCCCCTATAGTTGTTTCAGGCAGCCAGTCCTCTATTTAGTAAGAACTCAAGTGAGAACTTTAAGCTCTTTTTTTGCAGACGAATTGTACTTGGGTTGTTATGAAACACAGAATAATGAATCGAATCTTTACAAGCCAAGGCTTAGTACAATAAACTCATATAAGTGCATCGAGGCCTGCGCATATGAGATGTTTCCACTGGCTGCAGTTCTCAACGACACTGATTGCCACTGTGCAAACGACAGCGTAACTCCGCTGATCGAGACTGATCCATGTGGCGGCTCACGTAAATCCACGAACAGATTTGAGGTATACAACACCAGCTGCCTTCTGGTGGAATTTGTTGAAATTTATCAGGAACTGACATTCACAACATTTCCACCCAATATAACGCCGTCAGTATCTTCATCTCTCATGCTTGTCACGCCATCAAGTGTGACAGCAACGAATTCGTCACAAACAATAGTATATTCGGTGGATTTTGGCGATGGAAGGAGTAACTGGACACGGGTCCTTAGACACCATTATCTCGCTATTGGCGAGTTTAACATCACTTTAGTGGCATCCCGAGGCAACTCGACCATCTTCGTATTGTCCCGCAGGATTCGGATATTATCCCGAGCCAAAGTAGCTAACGTGTCGTGCTCCGCCATAAAGCCAAACCATACAGTTGTGTGCAAATTGAATGGTCTGAGAGGAAGTGACATCACAGCTTCGATAGCAATGTACAATACAGGCCAAAACGTGTCGCTCTTAGTTCCAGGTATGTTTTCAATAAGTACGTGGTGTAACACCCCTTGAAGAATAATTTCATTATACTCATAAACTTATAAACAATATAGACAGTGACGTGGACAAATGTACCCAAACAGGGCGGGGATGGGGTGAGAAAACTAGAACGGGCTTCTTTTTGCTTAAAAAGGGAGGGCGTGGAGTGAAGGCTAAGAGAGTGAGGGGGCAAATTTATCGGTCGTTTAATTTGGGTCTTATTATTTGAGCAAAAAGGAAGGAGGTACCATTGGTCTGTATCTTTAACTATGCCACTAGCTGCTGTACTCCTGACTTTGTGTAAACATAGTTTAGGGGGAATAATACGTTGTTTGCTGAACGCTTTGGGAGAGAAGACCGATGTCTAGTTTGGTAGAGCGGTTTTCAATTGACTGTCATAAAACCAAACCCAAAGTAGTCACTCTAGCCAATCACAAAGGACACAGACAATCCAGAGAACCAATCAAAACTTGAAGTAATTACATGTAGCTGACGCAAAGCGCGGGAAAACGAGTGCGAGTGAGTTGCAATTGGTTTTGGTTTGACTTCTGATTGGATGAAAAAGTGGCGCGAGTTTTCTAAGCTAATCGTGTAGCATAGTTGATGCAAAACCTATTACTTTTTGACACTTAAATAAAAACTGCTGTATTATAAGAACCTTATCAGTGATTGGAAGGGGCAGTGTAGTGTTTAAAACTCTCGTCTCAGTTTTGACCGTGCATTTGTCAGTTGGTAACCTCATCATTAGCTTTGTTTTCTAGATGGGGGCCAATTAGAAAACCAAATAGTTTACTTGACCCCCATACTCTATTTAATATTTATCAACCGAAAAGGTATACTGTAAACATTAAAAAGTAACTGTTCACCTGTTACTGTAAATTGAGAGGAAATAAAGTACATTGCTTCGATGTTGATCTGTTTTTTCAAGGAATGAAACAATAGCGTCTTTCTTTTTTCTTTCTGTTGAAGTTGAAGCAGCCATTCGACTAAAACTATGGAGTCTAGGGACCCTGAGAAATATTTGGATATGTTGCAACAGAGCAAGTGTAAGAATACATGTACCACTTATATTTTTCTTTTCACCTCCTAGACGTGCCACGATTGGTAATAGGGAGCACAGGGGTTCCAATAACCAACCAATCAGCTGCGAAAAATGAATCTGGAGCGTATTTACTTCCTTCTCTCCAGTTTATAACGGAGGCCACAGTGGAGGCCTGGGAAGTATATGCTGAGTCTCCTGGTCGCATTCAGTTGCAGGTGAGGCCGTGTTTCTCTCCACACGAACTACTTTTGATTTTAGCAGGAGGCAGAAAGCTGATTCGTTCCCAGTAACCTCTAATAACTCCGTTTTCTTGCACAAAATGTTGGCAGTGGTGGTGTAGTCATTCACGAAAAGGAATTTATAATTCAAAAACCCACATCAGATTGTAAATAGTGAAAGATGTGAAACATTTTGTGTCTCCAACCGTTTAATTTGTCGCCAAAAATTGGTCATCTGCGTCTAGTCCGACGATTCACTTGTAGATCGTCAAGTGTCGCCAGGTAGGAAAATACTTGAGTTATTTTGAACAAAATATGTTGTCCTTCATCAAATTAAACGCAGAAATCTCGAGTTAAGTATTAGATGAGGGCAAAGCAACTTTAGCATTGTCTTTATTTTTGCCAGCTGCGGAGAAAATGACATGATGACTGCGAAGAAAATGACTTTTACTCAGTGGGCGCAGTCGCAGTATGAAAGAAGGAATGAACCAGGGAAGGTGTCATCCAAGATTAAGACACCCTATTAAAAGAGAGGAAGGGGATCAACCGAGATGGTGCTCGAACGAAAGCTACGTAAGATAAAAGACGTTTCAAATCAACGATCCTGGTCTTGTACCCCCGATAGAGTGAAATTTGCTTCGTCCCAAAACTTACAGGGTGGGGTACATCACTGGGGAGTTCGTATGTACAAAACGGTGACCCTAGCATTCGTTACATCTAAGCTTCGCCAGCAGGGTTTTCCTCAATCTTAACGCATCTCTGGTGTAACTGAGCTGCTTAGTTTGATCTAATTAGCCTTTTTTTCATAGATTTACAGGGCAATTTTGAATTTGACGAAATGTAAAGGAAGCCGCTATCAGCACTCGTCTTGTGGGGACTGGACTCCAGCTAACGGTGACTGTAATCAAGTATGCATCAAATTAATTTACCGGCCGAAACTATCCATCGTGTCTTGCGGGCGTACTATCAGTAGTTATTCCAAAGTGTACAGCATTGACACCAATCTTACCGTGGGATATAACTTGATAGTCATACCGCAAGAGCAGAGGTTTATTACACGTGAAGGAGACATAGTAGGATTTTATAGAAACACTTCCGGTGCTGTCATTCAGACAATTACCGCTGGGCAAGATATAGGTGGTTATTTTTTTCCGGCGCAGGATATGTCCAACTTGGATATCAAAAATGGTATAACCTCGAACGTCTCTTTTCGCGTAAAATTACACAGCTCTGCTGAAGTCAAAGCCGAACTCGCTTTTTGGTGTTCGACATCCGTTGGGCTGTATTCCCTGACGTCGACTTTCCATAACGCTCTAAGCTCATACAACGACAGCAAAGCTCTCACCTTTCGATCTTTTATCTCAGTACAAAATGCGATTGCACAACTAGACACACAGCGACAGATATATATTGAAGTGAATTCGACAGAAGTCTTCACTGCAAATGTAACACAGGGCACTAACGTTTCGTGCGAATGGTACATTCCCAACTCAAGTTTAACTGCCGAATTACAATCACCTTACCTCAAAAACAACACCACTACTGAAGGTGGAGTTTTCCAGTACAGCTTTTTGTATCGTTTTACCGGATATATTCCGCTCGTGGTAACCGCATACAACCTTGTCTCCAAAGAGCGCCGCACCCTTAATCTTTTCGTACGCCAGCCAATCAAGGGTCTAAAGGCAAATATGTGTAACGGAGAGTTTGCTTACAACAACGCTCAAACGTGTTTCAATTCCAGCGTGACACGGGGTACTGATGTCGGCTGTACTTGGGTTTTTAAACAACCACCCAGGAAAAAAGACGACTGCAGCAAAAAGAAAATCGGTGAAACCATTTTTCGTGGATNGTGGATCACGTGGAGAGGCCAAACCTCTTCCGCTTTAGGTGGAACTGGGACGGTAAATCAAATTTAGAGGAAGCTAGTTCCATTGTAACACACACCTTTACCGAGCCAGGTCAATATTTCATCACCGTGAATATCTCCTCTACAGTTGATCACGTGGTCTTAGATGGTCACGTGACAGTTCAACAACGTATCGAAGGCTTACTTATCAGAGATTTGGCTGTGAAATCATCAAATGTTCTACACGTGAAATTTGAGATTTTGCAAGGGACCAATGTCACGTGCTCTGTGGAATATGGTGACGAAACTGGTGAGTAAAAAACTTAGTTTTTATTATGAAGTAAACAACAACAATGTGAGTAAAACTAGATTTTATTTTTCTAGTCATAAAACAACCAATGAACTGAGTGACCAGGCATATTTTAAATAAGCTTGATCGATACATTTTAAGACGTGTTCTTTAGTTGTGTATAACTACACACACATAGAACGGTTTTCATTGTAATTGGTAACTGGTAATTGGTAATTGGTTTTAAATCACTACACACGATTGGCTTAAAAACTCGCGCCACTTTTTCATCCAATCAGAAGTAAAACCAAAACCAATCGTGACTCACTCGCACTCGTTTTCCCGCGCTTTGCGTCAGCTACAAGTAATTACTTCGAGTNAATAACGTATGTAAAGTTACGCAGCCGGTGGCACTGGGGAGGGAAACTTCACGCAAGCCAACTCACTGACTGATGATTGCCAGGTTCTTTTCGTTGACTGTTAGAGAAAACATTTCCCTCGCTCTGATTGATTAGAGCCTGCTTTGCACCAGCCGTGTGTATTAATAAACCACAAGGTTCGTTAGAAGGGGCTAAGATAATAGAACCACGAGGGCAGGTTTTATGTAATAAGGGACGAATAAATAATGGTCCGCACCTTATTACATAAAATCTGCAGGAATTCCCGGGGTAAATTTTGCGAAGGTTTTTCATATCTCGCCTTTTACAGACGTGGCGATGCAGGATTCTAACAAAAACCTTTCTTTTTTTTCAGAGGCACAACTGGGATTTTTACGGACGTTACCTGAAATAGTAGAGTTGACCCATCAGTACAGCGAACCTGGTACATACGGCTTGTCCATATCAGTCAACAGTATTGTCGGTCCGAGTACTTCGGTACAAAAGTCAGTAGTTATTAGTGAAGCTCCCTGTGTTTTAGATGGCTTGCGCATGCTCGGCGCTGGAGAAAGTAGTGCTCAGTGCCCCGAAATTCAACAGGAATACGAGTACTCACTTTACTCTTCGCTGAAAATAAACTGTCAAGCTTTCAACGAACTGAAATACGACTGGAAAGTTGAAAATATATTGAACGGCTCCGTCACAGAAGTTAGCTCGTTTCCGAAGGATATCCTCTCTTCTAATGTCCTGTTTCTCGCTGCTCGATCACTCCAAGGTGGTCTTTACAGATTTACGCTCTCAGTGACCGCAATACCTCTTGGGATATCGAAAGTCGCCACAGGATTTCTACGCGTGCGTACACCGAAACTGCTGGCCGTCATAGACTGCGGGAGAGAAAGAGTAATGTCTTGGAATCACGAAATCATTCTCAATGCATCTTCATCACGTGATCCAAATAATATCAACGTCGGCAAGGCCAGCGACTCTCTCTCGTTTGAGTGGTTTTGTGATGCTAATCGTAGTGTTTCTTGTTTCAAAAGCTCCGTTAACAACAAGTCCACGTTGATTTTTCCACCCGAGTCCCTTGACGTCAATGCGTCGTATGAGTTCTTTGTGGTAGTAACTAAGGGAATGAGGCAGGCCGAAGCAAGTCAGATCATCAAGGTAGTGGCTGGGAGCTTTCCTCCTCTTTGCGTCAGGTTAGTGACATTTAACAGACTTCTCAAACTCATAAATAATTTATCAAGTTAAAACAAAGAAAATCACAACCGTGAAGGAGGTTTGGAAACCCGGTCTTAATTAGCATAGATCTTGACGATTTTATTTCTCCATTTACTCCTAAGTTTTCGTTTCGATTGAGAAGATATATCAAACACTCGAGACAGTGCTTTATTGGCTATCCAAACACCTGGACTTTCGTCCAAAATACTCCGCTGCGCGTCGTATTGTCAACTTTTGGATATCCCAATCAAACACCGCCTCTCGTGGTTGATATATTACTTAAAATACAACAACATTAACGACACCTATTCTGAGAAACAATTTAAGACCAGTCTGAGATTCACTGAATTACAGAATAAATAAAAGCGATGAAGAATGTGGTGGATAAGTTAAGGCATATAATTTGTTGAGACAAATTTCTGTTGTCTCATTAAGTCAAACTTAAATGACGGTTATCGTATACATGTACTAAAATTGTAGTCTCCGGCCATCCGAGCTGGAAAATAATTGATTGAAAGAGACTCTAAATTTTTTTAATTTTTGCGCTTTTAAATTACATATGCTAAAGAGAATCTAAAAGAAATTCTATAAAGCTTAAAAAAGTCGGCATAACTGAAAAAAGACTTTACAACTAAGGAAGTTTGTTGCAGGGAACTGTTGTTACTTACGTCGGTGTAGTGATCGAAATATATAAAACAAACATTTTCTCGCGACATTTTTCCTTCACAGATGCAAGGAAAACTGCGCCTATAAGGTGACAGCTTCCAAAGAATTCATTCTTTCTGGCGAAGGTTGCCAAGACAATAAGAACACAGACTGCAAGTGGGAACTGTACGGTCCTCCACTGTTAAATGGACAAATCTCAAAACGTTCAGTAGAGTCATCACGGTTGATCAGCGTGTCCTACGCGAAGGAGTTCCACTTGGATCCCAGCAACTTGATTCCCAACAGAACATACACGATTTTCTTCAACAACAACAGAAGCGGCTTCTGGGCACAATATTCGGTGACAACCGACATGCCTCCGACAGGTGGATCGTGTGTCGTGTCGCCTTCGGAGGGCGTCGTAATCGAGACGCAATTTCAAATCAGCTGCACAGAATGGACGGACGAAGATAGTCCCTTGTGGTACGAGTTTTTCTTAAGTCATCCCGTGCACGGGTCCATGTTGTTGTTCTACGGGTGGATGCCGGATTCCGTTGGATTGTTCCTTCCCGCTGGATCGAAAGATAATGACTTCAACGTAGACTTGTTTGTAAAAATCACGGATGTCTTAGGATCTTACAGAATAGTTCCTCTTCAAGCAAAGGTGCGTTTTGTTTTATGCAACACCCCACTGAGATATCCTCAAAGTTACCTCAATAATATGAAAGAAGTTTCCATTAGTGTGTTACTCTCACTTTTTAAGCCTGTAAACGCAAGCATAGTGTGTGATCATTCAAAGGAAAGCTATTGAGCACTACTCAGTTTATGTGATATTGTTTTTATACTGTACAATGTTGTTCTAACTTTTAAATTTTGAATAATACAATACAATAAACTTTATTTAAACGCGGTGAGGGTTAAAGCCCTTGCAAGCTTGTGGGGCCGTGCAGGAAATAAAAATATTGAATTCATAGAATTCGGATTCAAATCAATCGAAATCAAACTTATTTAGCTGTTCTTTCAAGTGGTATATTGTATTTTAGCTGTACAAGGTGTTCTGCTCTCTAAGTCTAGTGTAGATAAAACCCTAGTGTGTGACCATTCAAATGAAAGTTTTTTGAGGGAGTGATTTCTTGCTGTTTTGTTTAGTTTCTCCACATCAACAAGAACTGTTATTCGTTTAGTAAACTAATGATTGTTTTTTAGGTGAAAAGTTTTAGTCCTAAGGAAGGTTCTGTGAGCTCTATTCTCAAAGGAGTAGTCAGCGGACCCGATTCTATGTTAGAAAAACTTCTTGCGGTTGGAGAATTCCAACAGGCGAGTCAGCTAATGACGACAGTCATCACAGTGTTGAATGAAGACTCGACCAAGGCTCATGATTCCGAGTCTCCGGACACCAAAGACCGTGTGGAGGTTGGTGAATACATGGTACTTTACCTGACCATGTGTTGAAAATAGAGATCATTAGGATTAAACCAATGAACAAAAGGGAGAATAATTCAACATAGTTGCCCTTGCGAGAAGACATTAACTTAAGGCCAGATTAAAATTCTTATTGAATATTTTTCTCTTTCCGTATAAAAGAATAAAATATTATAAGTATATCTGTTTGAAGTAAACTTGTTTTGAGGATTACCAATTTTACCCTTGTTCAGCTCAGTTCAGCTTCAAGGTTTAACCAGTTTACAAGTATTTTGTTAATATAACTCCATAAAGGGTAAAACCTTCGGGAATGTCAAAAAACACAATAATATTGTCACTATTGCCATACATTGCACTAGAGTTCATAACTTAAGATATTCGAGCTGAGAGTTTTTTAAAGTATCAATTAGGCTGATGGGCAAAACTGTGTCAGAGAAATAAAGTGCCGTCTTTAGAGAGAGGCGTCGACAAGTTTCCGCTGCTAAGCTTGTAAGTTACGTCGTGTTTGTATTGTTCGTACCCAGGTCCGTAGCAGAGTAATTGAGGGACTTTCCCAGCAGTGCTGCAGCAGTCCACAGAGTATCCAACAGGCGCTAGGCGGACTCTTACAGGCTGTCGGAGTAACCGCTGAACTCTCACCTGATGCGAATGTAAGTTATCATAACCTTTTGTGAGCCTGCGTTCATATCATCATTCTAGCAGTCCCAGCTTACACTCATAAGAATGGGAAAGACTGAAACCGAAAGTTGTTTTCAGATATAATAATTTTTTTCACCTTTTTTGACTCGCATAATACAAAGTGACTAGCTATGTACATTTCTACTTCCCGTATCCTGAACGGGTCGTGGGTTCAATCCCACTCTGACAACTTTACTGGAGTTGTTTCCGCTCTGTACATCCTACTTCTACTCCTAGGTCATTGTTGTAAATAGCCAGCTTGTCTGCGTCCCGCCAGTTGGGATTTGTAAGCCTCTTTTGTTTACACATTTGTCTCTTTCAGTTTAAATGCCCGTGAAGCGCACATGATTGACCACTATAGACAACAACATTTTGAACATTTTGTTGAGAATTTCTCAGGTTAAAGCCCAAAATATGCACCAGTACCCATAAAACATTTTCTGTCGATGTCCTTGCCTTTATTGGCTGTCCTCTTATCCTTCTTTTGTAATAACATTTAGGTGGATGGTGCTAATGCGTTCTCGAACATGGCACAAGCCTTAGTGATCAAGTTCAAGAGCGTGCGAGCGGCCAATGAGACCAGAGGCATTATTGATGGCCTGAACATTGTAATGAGAGCTTCTGTGGACACAAGCAATGAAGTGAAACTTGAACAGAGCTCAGATGAAATTAAAGACTGGATCGATGACAGCAACGAGGCAAGAAATAAACAATATCAAGAAAAGGTGAGACAAGTTGACAGTAACATTCAGCTGCGTATTCACAATAGGTTACGTTCGATCTATCAACGTTCTAACATGGCTTCGAGGCTTTCAGGACAAACGTCTATATTTGGTAGTGTTTTCCTTTTAATCCAAATTCTCTTGGGAATTGAAGGACAAAAGAAACTTCAAAAGTGTACAATTTTGTCCTGAATGCCTCTGAACCATGTTAAAATATTGATATATCGAACGTGGCCTATTAACCTTTCTTAGCTGCCCTGTCCAGAGCATTCCTTGTACCAGGCTCTCGTCTTTTAACTTGAAGCCTTGGCATTTGAGATTTTGAAGACTTCAAAAAAAATCCAGGTCTTCATCATTTCTTCCCTCTATACCCTATCCCTAACCCTTACCCCTAATAGGATTGTTACTGATTTCCAGCCTAATCTTTGATACGTTAAACTGAGAAAGAAATAGTTTAACTAACATCCTTTTTTCTATTAGTGTGAAAAGGCAACCAACAAATCCCTGGAAGGTGTAAAATACGCTGCGCAAAAAATCCTGGACTATCAACGGAAGGGTGATCCACCTAGTCACGTGACCTCGGGCTTGATGAAATTAACGCTTGCTCGCCAGTCTCCCAGCGACATAGATAACGCGACTTTGGACGGAGGAGAGGTTACTTTTCAGTTTCCGTGGAATGTGACGATAGATAAGCTCAAACAGTTTGATACAGTTAACACTAAGGTACGTTTGGATCTAACCATTGTACTGTTTTCTTAAGATGGAAAATAACAATTCTGACGAAACTTAGCAACAAATATCATAATAGATAATATTAGCTTAAAGAGACCTTACTTCATATTTTTCGCACTGAATCTGATTCTGCGCTCAAACTGATTCACAATTCTATAGGAAAGCTTTGTAATTACCTGAACTGAGCACAAGAAGCTATCATTGTTTTAATAAACTGTAGTCACAATCTGAATTACTCATAAATATACTCAGTCTCTAACTCATAGTGAGAATTTTATAACTTTTCAGCTATCGATCGCATCCATTTATACTTTTTATCAACCTTTTAACTCGAGGAAAGGATATCCATCTCTAGAGAGCGACGTGAAATAAATAAATAAATAAATAAATAAATGAAATAAAAATTAGAGATGCAATTTAATGTTTCTTTCTGTCGTTGCAGGTGATAACTATGTCCCAGACCCCGTTCATTTCAAACGATGCGATTCCTATTGACACCCCAGTCTCAACCTTAGAGCTTTTGGAGACTTCTGGGAAGGAAATCGAAATCCGGAACCTTACAGAGCCTGTGTCCATATTCCTGTCGCTCAACCAATCAGAGAACGACGATCTCGATAACATGACAGGTGTCATCGATTCAGAAATGAATATCACAGTTTTCAAGATCGAATCCGGGGGAGATAACTCATTCTATTTCACAGTTAGCTGCTCCGGGGCAATGAATACTGGACAAGAACTAATTTTAGTTTTGAAGAGAAACTCAAAACCGACCGCTAACAACTTTGATCTCCGATGGAATCTCACTTTGTGTAACAGCACTTTAAAGAAGCTGATATCGAGAGAGTATTTAAATAATTCGGAAGGGTTGTACCTCGGTGTGAAATTAGCGGAAGCAAGTAATCTAACCAACGGTACATCAACGCGAAATGAAATCCATTATGCAGTGTCAGTGAAGGCTATTGGATGTTACTATTGGAACGAAAGGATGCAAGCGTGGAGGGCAGATGGTTGTGAGGTGACTGTCGTTTTTGACAGAACTTCGTTTAATTAACAATCCGAACAATTATCGATTCCTTTTCTCCAATCAATGGCAACACGTACATGCTTCGGTTATTGCAACAACGTCGTTGTCTTTGCAACTTGATGCAAGCCATAATTATTGAGGAGAATCCTTAATCCTGTGACGCATAAATCACTTGGTGATTTGTGCGTTTCAGAGTCGTTGAATTTTTTGTATCAATAAGAGCTTGTCAATGGCTTGAATATTATTACTTCTTTACAACATGGCTGTTTATCAACTGTGTAACATTACAATGCGACGGTAAAAGAGCTATACGCCATTAAAATGGAGGAATAACTAGTAATTAATTAGCGGGTAATTTGTGGCAAGCGCTGTGAAATACGCAGGAAAATCACTGAGGAAGTTTTCTGATTGAATGAGGAGACAACATTTTGGTAAATAACCAAACGTTTGATCAGTTAACGCTGGATACGTTTTCTTAATCAATCACTACAGTTAGCAAACGCGAAACAATTGTAACATACACCCAGTGATAAGCCTTTCTACACTGACAGTATTGCCCGTTTTTTGTCTTATTAGGTTGGTCCACTAACCACTTTAGAGCGCGTCGAGTGCCGGTGTAACCACTTGACGTGGTTCGGTAGCCGCGTGTTTGTTCCTCCAAACAAACTTCACCTGGATATCATTCTCAAGAGGATAAAAGACCCGTCCAACTATGCGCCAGTCCTCTCCGTACTCTGTGTTACATTTGGTCTGTACTTAATGGTCATCGTTTGGGCGCGCCGAGAGGATCGAAAAGATAGAAATAAGGTATCGATAGAGGATAAACACACTTATTTGACTTAATCCTCTTTGCCTCAGGAGAAGGGCCTTGACCATAGCGCTCAAACATTTTCCGTTTCCCTCAGTCGATCTTTTTGGTCTCAGCCCATGTCTTCCCGATGTTCTCCAATTCCTTTGTTACATAACAAAATTAAACAGGATTAAAACAGGACTTGGGCGAGAGCAACCTCATCCGTGCTAGGTTGCACTTCACATCTTGCCGCGCCAGCCGTTTATTAGGTTTAATGGGGATGATCTCTTGTTCTTTTGCCACCCTCAGAGGTAAGGGAGGGAGGCGTCCAGTGTATCCGCCGCGTTAGTTTCAGTGTTTTTGTATATTTATCATAATCGTATACCCTTTTGGTACGCTTAGGCAGGATGTCTAGGAAGTTTGGTCGAGCCATCATTTCGTATTTGTGAGACGCAGTCGAGCGGAAAGACCCATGGCGAGACCAAACAAGTTTGACATGACACCAAATCATATCAGAAATATACGATTGAGTATTTCAGCGTACCGAAATTCGGCCAAAAATCTGGCAGTCAAATCAGGTCAGTGAGTAGATATCGCAGGATGTCAGGACCGATGTGAGTAGACATCGCAGGATATCAGGACCGATAGACTCGGTGTCCGATTCACGGATTACGAATGTGGATGCGAAACGTTGGAGGTCTGAGTTATAAACAGAGCTTCTGATTGTTTGATCCCTTTTGGAAGACTAGCGGAAATACACGATCCAAAATTTTGAAAACAAAGGAATACATGTCAAAAAATTATCCTCTGTCAACTCTGATTTAAAATGATGCAAACGCGATGACGCGAAAAACAGTGTGCGAATTCGATTCCAAATAAAAATCCTAACTGATGAGAGGTTTACAATCAGAGTTCAGATCTCAATGTATTTGTTTCAATCCCTGAAACCGAGTTAAAGTTTGCGGGAAAAATTTCCCAGAAAAAATAACAGAGAACTCTGAAGAGGTTTAGGTTCGTCGTAAATTATGAAGTTTAACCACTATAAGAATAACTGAATTTTTTCTGTCTTTCAATTGGCAACCGAAAGGAAAAAAAACATTATAAAAAGGCGTGTTACATAAAGTGTTAATGCATCTCCTAGTCAGACAACTTTATTATACTCAGTCATTTGTGTATATCTTTGCTGCATTTTTTTATACAGACAGGATTAACTGTAAGCCCAAGCAACAGGGCAGGAGACGCTCATGCCTACGAGGTCGTCATCAGCACTGGTATGCGCAGACATGCTGGTACAACTGCCAACGTTGCCATGACAATAACAGGAGAACGTGGTGAAAGTCATCCATATCTTCTCAAGAACAGTCGGCGAATGGCATTGGCTCGCGGAAGCACTGACTCCTTTCTCGTGACGACTTCGGAAACTCTCGGAGAGCTCACGTACATCCGAGTATGGCACGATAACTTCGGTAAGGACCCGGCTTGGTTCGTGAAGCAGATATCTATTCGTGAGATTGACACCGATGGAGTCTGGTACTTCGTGTGCGAGTCTTGGCTGGCGGTGGACGAAGGCGATGGTATGATAGACAGGATATTTCCAGTGGCGAGCAACGCGGAGTTGAAAGAATTTCGACGCTTGTTTTTGACGAAAGCGTACAAGGACCTGACAGACTCGCACCTTTGGTTCTCGGTTGTTTGGAGGCCCCCACAGTCCCCTTTCACGAGGGTGCAGCGCGTGTCTTGCTGTTTGTCCCTTCTTCTGTGTACTATGATGGCCAACGCCTTGTGGTACGAGGCTGATAAAGGTCGTTACACTGCAGTCGAGTTGGGTCCGTTTGAATTTTCCTGGGAGCAAGTCTCTATTGGAATCTGCAGCAGTCTTGTTGTGTTTCCGATAAATTTGCTTCTGGTGCAGATCTTCAGACATTGTCGTCCACGGCCAGTGCCAAAACTTGGCCTGTTCAACATGAAAATAAGACCTCGTTCCTTGTCCACACACACTGAAATTACTCTGGTTAAGTTCAGATCACGTGACAGTTGTAATTTCGGTACCAGCTTCCCAACCAGTCAGTACCAAAATGTACATAAAGGGTCTCCTGGAGAATCTCCAAACTCTCGAGATAAAATCAGTCTGTCACCTGCGATGCGTTTTGGTCTTATGCCGTCATTTTCAGTCTCTCTGGGAGCTGGTGCCACCACGGATTCCACTAACGATATCAGATCTTTGCTTCCAAGCGACTCTTTATCAGGATCACCGACTAGAGATCATGAGAACACATTTAATACTGCCGGTGAGGAAGACACGTCTCGTGCAAAAGGACTTCCTTGGTGGTTTGTGTATGTTGGCTGGTTTCTGGTTACAGTGACGTCCCTCACCGCCGCCACTGTCACATTACTGTACGGTATCGAGTTCGGCCTAAAAAAGTCCTCACAGTGGCTTTTATCCATGTTTTTCTCACTCACGCAGGACATCTTTGTCAGTCAACCGCTCAAGGTTTTGGCCTTAGCCACCTTTTTCGCTTACATTTTTAAGAAACGGAACAAAATTGCCCTTTCGTCACCATCACGACTTACATCTGATGAGCACTGGCTGCAAAATCAGCTTCAGCACTCGGAAGACGACTTCGAGGAGCACCCCAAGGCCCCTCCTGTCGAGGTGCCGACAGAGGATGCTCTCCGGCACGCCCGGGACAGGGCTCAAAAAGAGCGTACAATGCATACCATCTTACTCGATTTAGGAACCTTCCTGGTATTCACTTTTCTTGTTCTTCTCATCGCCTACGGATTTCGTGATCGAGATGCATTTCGTCAAAACGACGCCGTTGCAAAGGTTTTACTACGTCAAAACTTTAGCGGGAAACAGAGAGGGTTCTTCCCCGACAGATACTCTCAGGTAAATTTTTATAAATTTTGGCGAAGGTCCCTTAATTCTTCGAGGGTAAGAACATTTTTAACATTATAAATACAATGTTTTTCACGAGCTAACTTACATATATATACTAGCGAAGAGCGGCCGGAATAGTCTGAAATCATATAATACTGCAGGGATTTTGGTCTATCGTTCTAGTTTTAAAAACCTATCGACCAAACGATGAGAACTAAAAGCCTTTTCTCTTATAAAAAGACAAGCAAATAAGTAAACTTGTTTACAGATCCTACAAGCAGAAGGGTATGCTCTGTAAAGGAACTATAATACATGGATTTAGCCAAGCCTAAAAGCGGAGGTTGCTCAAAGCTCGATTAAGCCAACCTAGGATAAGCGAGAATTTTGATATGAATTTTGGCAACTTTGCGGCGAGGTTTCCTGTATATTATTTGGCCTTCTGTTTTGAGTTTGATGACTCAAAGCAGAAGGCCAAACAATATTCAATTCAATTTTATTGTGCATGCATACGTTCCGTTCTAGAATATGCATGCCAGGCTTTCCACTCTAGCTTGCCAGCCTATTTGTCCGACCAAATAGAGAGGGTTCAGAAAAGAGTCTGAAGGATCCTATTCCCAGAGGTTTCGTATTGCAAGGCACTGGAAGATGCGGGCTTAAAAACACTCTTTCATAGACGTGAGGAATTATGTAGCATTCTGTTTAAACAAATTGTAAAGAGTAATGACCAGCACAAACTAGCTGGCCTGCTGCCCGCGCGCAATGACAGTGAGAGATATAATTTCAGGACTAGGCATATGTTTTCAATCCCGAATGTAAAAACAAAGAGGTTTAGAAATACTTTCATAATATAATGCACTATGCAAATAAACAACAATTGTAAATAGAATTTTATACTAGTTTGATATATTTTATTATTATATAATTTTTTTATGTATAGTTAGGTTTTTTTATAGTTTGAATTTTTTAAACATGTAGTATATAACACTAGTAATTCAGCTTATAGCTGCAAGTTGTGAGTTTAATACACGATTTATCTATCTATTTATCTATACAGAAAACCTCAGCAAACTTATAAAACTCCAATCAAAATTCTCGCATATCCTGGGTTATCTTAATCGAGCTTTGAACAACCCGGCTCAGGAGTTCCGCTTTTAGGCTTCGCTAAATCTATATATTAGCTGGAATATGGCCGCCACCTTGCGCTACTCCGTCGTCGTCGACGCCACGTGCGTACGCGCCCACGAGCAATACCGCTAGCCATGATAACCATGAGAAAATCAATGCCTGGGTTTCCCTTACTTTCCTATATGGGTATGGTGCTCTGCTTGGCGGCCCTTCGGGCCGCCAGAACTCCGCTATTATGGACTTGTCATTTCACATTACACTCTTCAAACACATCATGATAGAGGAGAGAAAAAAGCTTTTACCACTGAAAGACGTGTCAATTATACTGGTCATTCGCCAAAACAATCAGCTGCTATGAATGCAGTTTTTCTAAGGTGAACTGTTTGATGTGTTAAATTATTTCTCTCTTCCCCGTGTAGATCATTCGACAAAGAGACATGTGGGACTGGACAGAGAACGCTCTGTTACCAAGTCTGTACAATCTGCCATCATACTTCTACACAGGAAAAGCGCCGAAATTCATGGAAGGAGAGAGCGGGCTGGTGGTGGGCGTGGCTCGTCTCCGACAACACAGAGTGAAGAAAGGTGAGAAAAGTACACCACAATCAACACAAAAATTGACCAAGCTCGTTACCTTGATACCTGTTAAGCCTTATTTTTAGTCTCAATCTCATTTAGATCGAACCTTGTTACTTCTGCTCAGGGTAATATATTGCAAGCCACTTTGCAGGATTGTAAAACTCGAGTATCTACAATTATAGCAGAGCTGATTGCTGAGCAGTGAGTTCCTACCTTTGTTTTGGAAAACACCGGGTCACTGAGATATACTCCTTTATTGAGAGCCAATAGTCCAGTTCTGGCCTTTTCTCTGTCACGCAAAGTCGAGAGAGCGGAACCCCCTCTCCGGACGTTGCGTGACAGAGAGATGACCAGGGTTAGACTAGAGAGCCATAGATAAACCGTTATATAGTTGAGACAAAGAACAAGCGATTTCCCCTGGTTTTTTCACCGAACCCTTTTAGCAAGAATCGCCGTGGCCTGTGACATAAGTGATAACACAGTTCTCAGTATTGGCTTTTACGTTGCGATCACGGTCAGCGACGAAAAGTGAAAAGTTGAACTAATGCCAGACTAGTCCCATGTGTGTTTGATATTCTGCCACTGGATCATTTTTTACCCATCTTTCTTTTCTTACTTTTAGATTCCTGTTCTGTGGCACCTGTAGCCAAGGATTTCTTTTTAAGGTGCGTCGCAGAATACGGCATAACGTCAGAGGACAAGCAAGCATACTCCACGCGCTGGGAATCGCTAATAAACGACTCCAGTCATCAAACACAAACTTCGTTATCACCAGGTCCCTGGCACTACAGCGCTGCGAGCGAACTGGATGGCTACCCCTACATAGGCGGCATAGCAACGTACTCTGGTGGTGGGTATGTGTTGGAACTGTCTCACATTTACTACAAAGCTTTACGACAGGTCAAGGATGCGAGGGATAAACTCTGGTTGGACCACTATACACGAAGTCTGTTCATGGAATTCACCTTGTATAATCCAAATAGCAACCTTTTCTGCGCTGTAACGTTCGTAATGGAGACCTTTCCAACAGGAGGTGTTTTTCCGCATTCTGAGGTCATAGCCTATCGCCTGTATCGTTATGTCGGTGATTTTCAATTGTTTGTTCTCGCCTGTGAGGTTTTGTTTTTTGCTTTTATTCTGTATTTCACGTACCGCGAGGCGAAGAAGCTTTACAAGACGCGAAGAATGTACTTCGCAGAGGTGTGGAATCTTATGGACCTAACTGTTTTAATACTCTGCTGGATTGCAATAGCGTATTACTTCATCTGTTTGGGATTGAGAAAATGGACAATTAACCTTTACCATAAAGATCCAACCAAGTTTATTAGTTTCCAACACGTTTCAACTTGGCAGCTAATGTTTGAGAGC